CTGGCGAAGGGTGCAAAGGACTGAAGAGGCCTTGTTGCACATTTCCAGTCTGAAGCTCAGAAAGGCTAAATGGAGCTTTGGAGATTCCAAATTCCCAGGCTATTTCCATCCGGAATCTCGTCTTTGTCACCTCCTGTGAAATCTCTAATCTACAGAAATTGGCTGCTAAAAAAGACAACACCAGCCACAAAGCCTAATTACAATGCTCTCCTAGGAAAAGAGCAAAACCCTCACATCGACACCAACCAAGGCTCTGCATCCTTCTTTATTCTGAGGCCCTGAAAACCTCTGTGTTGCACAATTCAGGATCCTGGGCTCGTCTCCCTGGCCGTGACAGATGAACACCTAGTGTGATACAGGGGAAGAAGCACACCCTCTCGCCGGCCCAGCACTGCAGATGGCTGGGTTTCCCCTAGCACCTACCGCCGCCGGGTATCCACCTCCCAACCACCCTCTCCAAATATGGATCCCAGGTGTCGCCTACGTCTCCCTCTCCCCGGCTGCAGCTGCGGCGACGACGCCGCGTCGACTCCTGCAGCATCCTCGACGCGGGGCCTCGCTAAAGGGAAACACAAAGGGCAGCCCCTGCCTCCCTTCCATCGTCCCTTCCGCGGTCCCTTCTTCCCTCTGCCTCGGCGGACCCAACTTACTGAGCTGGCGCCTCCAGCCTGCGGTCAAATTCGAGGAGTCTCAACAGGAAACGCCTTCAGCCCACAGTGAAGCCCAGACCAGCTGCCCCTGACCTCAGAAGGAAAGAAAACTGCGCACAGAGAATACAGACACCGACCGTGGAGCTCGGACTGAGGAGGCTGAGGAAATTCAACCTATATTTCCTCTCGCGTCCTAGGAAACCCTGCCCCATTAACTATCCATTCTACGATCTGGGAGCGGTGGGATGCGACCCGGCCCATAAATGATATTATAAAAAATTAACAGAAATCAAAATAAAGTGAATTCCCTAGGCTCTTACCTCGTGATGGTTAGGTTCCTGGAAATTTTTTAATTAGCTAACGAAAGGCGGAGGAGGTGCTTTCTTGGTCGGTAAATAAGACTGCCTTCTCCGATGTTTCTGATCTCTGGAGCAAGCACTTAGAACAGCCACTGGTTAGTTTCCTGGAAATTCTCGAGAATTTGACCCCCGCAGTGGGCCAGATGGAAAAGGGAAGACTGTTTCCCCTGACTGACGGCAGCCCCGGCCAATCTGCGCTGAGAAAGGCGGTGCGCTTGCCGTCGGCGCACCAATCACAAATTCCAAAGAGAACGAGCCTCCCTGTAACTGCAATTTGACTTGGCCGACTTCCAGCACTGCGCTGCGGACCGACGTCGACTTGGGCCAGTAGAGGCTAGGGGTGACATCCCACCCGCCCGAAGGCCTGGGCGCGCGGGCCAATGATGGGGCGCCTCGGCAGTGGGTGGGGTCGGGAGACTGTTCCTAGCCAGCGAGTCCATCATCAGGGAGCGGGGCGGGGAAGGAGAGGTGTCGTTTGGGGTTTGGGGGCTGTAGTTGTGACAACTAGGAAACCAAAAAAGGAATGCTAACAACACCTGGGCAAAGGGCTTCTTGAAAGGCATCTGGTTCATTGCTATTCTTTGAAAAACTCGAAGTGCAGCATTCTTCGTGACTTAACGGGCATCTTGTGATCCCCTGAGATTGTCGATTCTTTCGTTCAACAAGTATTTCCGTTTATGTAGGATTTTTTTTTTTTTTTTTTTGTATTTGAGGCACTGTGCTAAGCACTGGAGATACAATCCCGACTCGAATAGACTAGAAGTGATAGCTGCCTTCATATAGCTTACAGTCTAATGAGGAGCAAGAGGGAGAAAACAAACAGGTAAACAAGCAAATAAAATAACAAATCATGTCAAGGAAGGAAATAGACAAGGTGTGGATATAGAGAATAATAGGAGGTTGATGTGACATAGGGAGGCTTGTTATGAGAGAACTTTATAACATTTAAACGGAGACTCGGAGAGTAAGAAAACAGGAAAGTGACGATTTCTTCAGGCAGAGGGGACAGCAAAGCAAAGGTCCTGAGGTGGGACAGCTTGAAATTTTGGAGGAACAGAAAGGTCAATGTGGCTCCAATGTAGAGGTAGGGGGAGAGCAGCATGACATGAGGTTGATGAGGTAGACAGAAGCCAGACCATGTAGCCAAGTGTTGGAGTGTGCATTAATTTTAAATTTAATGGGACTCTTGAGACATTTTAAGCAAAGAACTAAAATGATCTGATTTAGACTTTAAATCACTTAGGTTAATTTGTTGAGAACAGATAAAATAAGCTATTGGGAGAGTGGTTAGGAAGCTATATCAGATGAAACTCAAGGTAGGAAATGACCTGGTTTAAACTATGGTGATATCACTGCAGGTAGAAAAAAGCAGAGAGATTGGAGATTTTTGACATATTAGGTATTTTGGTCCCCAGACTGCTATTCTGAATCCAGTTCTTTGAATACTCTATTTAGAGAGTGAGTCTCACACTGACGACTTATGAATTCTAGTAATGACATTTGAGGATTATGTGTTGAAATTCAATTTTCATGAGCTTTCTGAAATTTTCTTTTTAAATTTTTTATTGAAGAATTATATATGTGTGTGTCTATATACAGGAAAGTGCACATATCCCAAACTCAATGAATTTTTACAATCTGAACACACCTGTGTACCCAGAATCAAAAAATAGAACATTATTAACAGCTAGGAACTCCATCATACTGCCTTTTAGTCATTGCCTATCCTGATTTTCAACAGCATAGATTAGTTTTGCCTGTCTTTGTACTCTATATCCATAATCATAAAGTATGTACTTTTTTGTTCTACTTCTTTATTCAACTTTATATTTGTGAGATTCTTCCATATCATTGCATATAGTTGTAGATCATTCCTTTTATTCCATTCTGTGAATATACCGCAATTTGTTAATTCATTCTTCTGTTGGACGCTACTAGAGATGGTGTTAATCACAAACATTCTAGTACATGTCTTTTGGTGATGCCCTTTTCTTTCAATGGAGCATTTTGATGGCTGAGTTTTAAATACAGGAAGTTATTCTCGAATCAATTCATCATTAATGTAGCACCATGTGATACAATATCTTAACCATTTATACCAAAGTTTGGTGACAATAATGAAGGTCTTTGCTCTCACAAATGTGAAAACTTTTGGCAACAACAAGGAACTGTTAATGTAGAAATTTTAAGCTTGTTAGTCTAAAACATTTGAATTATGTGTGTTGTTGTGACATTCTTTTTAAGCACTTACAATCTACATGCTCAGCATTTGAGAATATCATGACTTCGCTACATCTTTTTACTATAATAGACTGTAATCCACAGTCGGGGTTACCTCAGTGAAATCAACCTCCCAGTGGTCCCCCAGATAAGTTCCTCTTTTCCTATGTCTATGTTTTACTATCTTCTCCCTGTTGTCAGGTTCTGTTTATTGTCTCTGGTCTTATCTAGATTGTAGGTGGCGGACTTCTCTGGGTCCACCTACATACACCCCAGTAATTGTTCTTGTCTGAGTGTCTGATTGTTCTTGTCTGAGTGTCTGTTTTGTGTTTTCTGCGCAAGAGATGGGGGGAAGCCTGAGTTCACAGAAGACACCCTTGGGTTGTCTCCTGTGACATTTCAAAGAAAGGTTTGTAGAAGGAGCTGACTATGGCATAAAGTTTTCTCCAGGCAGACTAAAAACATTGTGTAAAGTTGAGTGGCTGTCTTTTGATGTAAACTAGTCTCCAGAGGGTTCTTTTGACAGGGGTTTAGTGAGGAATGTTTGGAAGATTGTCACGAGAGACCCGGGACATCCCTATCAGTTTCCCTACGTCAATCAATGATTAAACCTTGTTCAGACACCCCCCTCCTTGGCTCCGCTG